AAGTAATTCGGTAAGTAAAAATGAGTGTAGAGGAGATCCTTTGAACCATTTTGGTGATAATAATCTCTTGTATTTTTTTTTCTATCATGCTATGAATGAAAATGAGTTTGCTTAAAGTTGGTCCATGTCTAGCTAATTCTTTAGTTTTAAATTGATGATATAAATATTATATGTAATATTGATGTGTTCTCTTATTATTTAAATGATTAAAATGATATTTTTAATATCACCATATCTTAATTTCATGCACATAATGATCATATATGTAGTTAAAATTAGGTGTAATATGAAGCCTCGATAGAGAAAAGCAGGCTTAGTAGGAATATTGAATTAGTGTGCAACATACCTAGGCATAGGGTATGAAATGTGTTAAATTCTTAAGGAGATGATACAACTATAGAAACTCAATGGACATCCTTTATCCCTAAAGCTTGATAGAGATTTAAGGATGTATATGCTTTAAATAACATCACAACTAATGAGATTTATTAGAAAAAATATGTTATATAATGTTATTTATATTTATTAATATAAACCATTTTATCTATATATCATATTCATTATCTTTATTTAATTTTATTAAAGTGATTGAATCTACACAATAAACATTTTTATTTAAGTATGATAACTTTACAATTAGTGTAAATAATAGTAGTTAATTGCTGAAAAGCATACTTTCTCATAGGTTTAACAAGAGTCTATTACTTTATTATTGGATTTGGCACATATACTTGCATATATTAAGTGAGGTTGTTAAAATTTTTATATCAAAGAAAAATCAAAGCATTATTATATATTAATATATACTTAAATCATTTTAAAATTTAAAAGGTTACTCCACAAATCCCATTAGTGATTTTTTTATCAAATGGCATCATTAAATTATGGTCATGGTCACAGCTCGTATGTTCCCTAATGGAGTTAAATCATCGAGCAATGAATCAATATGATATGACCAATATGGCACAAAACCCTTTATTAATTATGGTGGATTCATATTTATCCCCTTAGATAAATATTTATCCCAAGTCTGTAAGGTACACTTAGATGAAGCAAACCATGGCTCCTAACAAGGATTCTTCTATCAGGTTGGCTCAATCATCTTCTCTAACTAAGTAAACTAAGGATCATGATGGTTAAATTTCCAAATACCAAATCATGCTGCTACTATACACTGGCTACTATGTACATATTTGATGAATATTCTGAATCTAAAGTTCTTTCTCACTATCGGGAGGGGTAATTAATTATAGGGGATCACGCCTATTGGAAACCTCAACTTATATCATAAAGTTCTCACAAAATTATGGGAAAATTCTATACGTAATGTCTTATTCAAAATCCAATCTGTCTTTTTAAAAATTTGCCTCCAAACTTAAATTTTAAAACTCACATCTAAGACCCAAAAAAAGAGAAAATAGGCCACAGAGAGGCCAGGGCAAAAATTTTTTGAGCCCACAATACTGTATCTTAGGTTGCAGCTTTATATATAGGCCCATAAGTGTTCTATTTAAGTGCACTAATTTATATTCACTTACACTCCTTCCCTAATTGAACTAATGCCTCATGATCTTTACTATCCATTTCCACTACAAGACTTTTTAGCTTCTTGAATAGATCTTTTAATTCAATATCTTTTTTTTTAAGGATTCATATGATTTTGAGAATTCATTGTGATTTTTATTTAATGCATCAAATTCATGTAATAAAAATATATGCTCCTTGTCTATTGTGATATATTCAACTTTGAAAGTTGAATGCTCATTAATTAAACTATCATCCTCTTGTTTCAAAGTTAGAAATTGCTTTTTCAATATATTATGCTGCTTTTTAGCTTCCTATATGAATCATGAATTTACTCAAAAAAAAAAAAAAATTATAGGTAAGATCACATACCTCATCTTATTCGGAGTTCATAAGTAAATCATTTTTAATTAAAAATAAATTTATTGTGTCCTCTTCCAGTTTTTATTCTGATGAATCTAAGGCTAAGTTCGCCTAGAGAATGTTTTGAATTTTTTATTTTCTTCTTTTTATAATAGACTCATCATCACCCTTTTCCATTATAGGGTGGCTCTTAATATTCGCGCATTCAGACCTCATATGTCTAGGCTTACTACACTCATAATAAATTGTGTTAGAAGAAAGCTTATTACTTTTACCATTCTTACCTTTGCTCCTATCAAGGTGATGCTTGGGCTTATACTTTTGCTCTATGAATATCCTGAATTTACTTATTATTAAAGTTATTTTCTTGCTCCCATAAGCTCCTGAGTCGAAGTGATCTATACCATTAGCTTTCAGAGCCACGATCTTTCATTTATATCATTGCCTATATCGAGTAATCTTTTGCTCATAAGCAATAAGAAAGCCCAATAAATTGTTAAAAAAGTATATATTTAGATCTTTGGATTTAGAAATAGTAGTGAATTTAGCATCAAAATTATCAATAAACAATGCAATATCTTATTAACCTTTTTAGAATTTGATAGTTCCCTTCCTAAAGCATACAGAGTTGTCACTATTTGTAAATCTAGTTTACATGTCAGATATATTTTGCTAGGTTTCATGTAAAAGAGTTTATATGCATGCAAACTTACATTCAAACATAATTATTTCACTTCATTTATACCTTCATATATAATACACAACTTATTCCAAATATCCTTTCTAGTGGTACATGTTGATACATATATATAGTCATCATATTTAAAGGCATAAAAAAATAATTCAAATATTTTGCACTGAGATGAGCCAAATCCCTATCTTCCATACTCCATTCAATAAATGAGATTTCTACATTAATACCATTAATAATGAAAAAAGAAGTATCATGACCAGTTTGTATCATATGCTACATTCTAAAGTCAATCTATCATAAAAATATATACATACAAAATTTCTAAAGTAAAATGAAGTGTTTGAATCCCTTTCACCTTCCCTAATATGGTGGAGTATTCAAATCCCTTTCACCTTTCCCATTGCAATAGAGTAGTCAAATCCCTTTCACCAACACAGTGAGACCGAGTAGCTGTCACTAACCTAGTGCAACAAAGTAGCCAAATCTCTTTCACCATCCTGCTGCGACAAAGTAGCCAAATCCCTTTCACTAACCTTGTATGGTGGTGTAGATTAATCCCTTTCACCAACCTGGTATAGTGGAGTTGAAGAATCCCTTTTACCAACTTGGTGTGGTTGAGTAGCAAAATCTCTTTCCCCAACCCAGTGCAATAGATTAGCTGGATCCTTTGTCACTAAAAGGGTCTTTTTCCCAAAGCTTTCCCCAAGATAAATCTTAATGCATGGAGGAATGCAAGTATATGTTCGTCGGAGAAACCATGTTAAAACACCTTTCTCACACTCCCTTGCACTCACAAGGCTCCTCTCTCACAAACTTCACCCTTTTCTCTCACTAACTTAAAGTTCTCTCTTCAACACTTTCTCATAGAAGACATAATCCAATGACTGCTAAAAGAGTCTCTCTAATGAAATAAGAGATGATTAAATGTAGGTTTCAAGATAACCCAAAAATTTAATTTAGCAATTTTTATTTGTATAATATGACTTATTAATACTGTATAATGAATAGTATTCTATATGAACAGTTAAAAATCTTTCACTGATCATCCAGTATAGTCATAGGGTTGTATAGTATGAATAGGACAATTGAATCATCAAACACCTAAACGGCAAAAAACTATATCTATAGATCATTTATTATTGTCTGAATCATACCATATGACTTTAATAATTAATTGTCTCAGATTCAATTGCTTAATCACATGGACTAAATATGTAACATTTTAATTACATTGTATAGTATGATTCAGATCATTTTGTATGAATTTATCAAAATTTAGAAATCAAAATATTGCCTAATTTTAATTAGCAATGGAGGTCTCCTAATTTTAACTGATTGTCCTGTACAATTTAGTTTATACAATATGATTAATTTATTCCTTAATTTCAAATTTATTTTAGATAAATAATCTTTTTAATAAATTTTTTATTACATAGATCATAAAGTACGATCTTTAGAAAAATAAAAATATTTAATCTCATTCCTCTCGTGTGTGTGTATAATTGCTAAGCAAACATACACTTTTTTACACTGATTGAGTAAAAAAACAAAAAAGTGCAGACTCTTGCATAAATCAAACATATACTATCCACATTGCGTCATGATTCTTTGATCATACTTTGTGCATGCAGAACCTGAAATATTAGCATATATAGAAAGGACATGCAATAATAAAACATAGGATAATTTAAATAAAATTCAATAATATTTATTATCATCAAAACCTAAACTCGGGCTCCCAGATTACAACAAATCATGATCTTGGACTTTTTGAAGCTAGGGTGATGAGATCAACATTTTGAAAATAAAATCAACGCATTTTTATTGCATGTTTCGGGAGTTATTTGCATTTGAAGAACAATTATTTTTTAGTTTTTACTATCTTATCCAACAGAAAGAATAATGTTAAATAAACTTTTTAAATATTTTTATATTTAATTTTAAAATAAATTTCGACTAATTTTTTTCTTGAATTGGATTTGATTTTATTGTAAACCATAAATATCATTTTATTTAATATGTTCAAACGATAATTAACTTAGGAAAACAAAATATCTCTATTTTTTATTCATTTAATCTAAGATAAATGTGATAGAATTTCTTACATTAAATTAATAATTTTTTTTGCATAAAATTCAAGAAAATAAAAAAATAATTAAAGAAGTTTTGGAAAAAAATTAAAATCATATGACGTTAGGGTTCAATTCGCTGCCCATGTTAGGATTAGCCCTTAAAGAATTCAGGGGCTATTTAATTGGCTTTTCTTTTCCTATAATAATCTTTGGTCAATATACTGGGTAGACGTGCTCTGTATTTTTTATAATAATAATAATAAGAAGGTTAACCAAATCCGAAATTTATCCCGCAACAGGTACGTGCGAAGAAAACTTTGCTTAGCCAGCAAGGTAAGAGAACTTCTCTCCCAAGTTCTCCCACGTTGCAATTATCCACCGTATTAAAAGAAGAGGCCGGCTGTTCTTCGATAGCTGTACAAAACTGCTTTGATGCGCTTATTATTCTTCGTCTCTGTGTTCCTACTGATCGCACAGATTTCTTTCCTGATGGCGGAGGAATCGAACAAGTCTGCCGGTGGTTCCATTCCCGGCTCAGGCGAGGATGCTGCCGTCCACATCGTCTATGTCGATCGTCCGGGGGAGGAGGAGCCAGAGGCTTTCCACATTCGCACCCTTGCCTCCGTCGTTGGAGGGTTAGGGCTTCTTCTTCGTCTCCTTCGATTTGTCTCACACACGAACTCTCTCTAATAGCGTTAGCATTAGGAATTTTGATTGTCTTGTCTCACACACGCACTCTCTCTAATAGCGTTAGCATTAGGAATTTTGATTTTGTGGGCTAAAAGATTCTTTGCCTCTACAGCGAGGACGCGGCAAAGGATGCGCTTATCTACCACTATAAGCACGCAGCGAGCGGGTTCTCTGCTAAGTTGACCCCTCAGCAGGTTGCTGAGTTGTCTCGTAAGTTACACTTTATGCTATTCACTAATGGATACAGGGAGCTGTGAGGTCATCATTTTGATTCAGTCATTATTGAAAGCTGATTATTTCCTTGTTATTTACTTGTTTGATAACTAACCTCTTTGGACATCAAAATTGTTGATTTTGTAGTTTGCTTTTTGATTGCCTTTCAGTTAAAATAAATGATTTTAATTATTTCTGTTAGACATGTTCAGTAGTTTAATCTTTTATTAGGGCATTTTAGTTTTCCACCTGATTGCAGCTACTAGTTGTGGTGATGTTTCTAAAATTTTTTACTTCTGTTTAATGAATTGATTTTAATTAAAAAACCATGTATGGTTTGACTATAATTTATTGCATAGGATATTTTCTGCTTTGTTATTTTTGGGAATATGATCCCGAGTTTTTGTTGGGAGTGTGATCCCGATTTTTTGTTGTGAATATGATCCCATGTTTTTGTTGGGAATATGATCCCAATTAATTATACAGTAGAACATGCAAAAGTAAGCATATGAAAATGATTAATAGTATTACATTTACAAAGTCCATAACGTGATTTCAACATTGAAATTATAATAACTAATGAAAATTATATGATAGAAACAAGTGTATAAGCGAAGACCAATGTTTTCAAAGCACAAAGGGCAGTGGGATGCATAAGAGTTCTTTTTTTTTTCTTCAATGCACCAAACACAAATCAAAACGGTGCTTTTTTTAACTATAATGCTCATAATTAATATAGAACTATAAATATAATGATACGTTCATTAACAATTATAAAACAATGAATGTTTAATAGATTCTTTAAATTTTAATATATGATAGAAAAAAAAATGATGTACATGCCTAACTTGTAGAGAAACTTAAAAAGTGAACCATTAAATTAAAATTTTAACTATTTTTATTGTACATTGGAATTAACAAACAAAATTTTTTTTTTTGGGACATTTAGGCCATTTTAGGCAAACTCACACACACAACGCATACACATAGACTCGAACCCTGGACCTCTTAGTTGGAAGCCTAAGCTCTCAACCAATAGGCCAAGGAGAGTTGTGTATCAATTTTAAGTTTAAGACTAGCATAGAAATATGGTGTAAAAAAATCAAGATTGCATAATTCATATCAAATGTTAAATTTTAATGTAGAAAGTTTCAAGTTTTATGAAGCAAACTACATAAAATTTAGTAGTCTCATCTTCTCTTACACATAATCTTTTTATCCTTTAAATAGAAATTCATCTTTAAAATCTTCTTCTACTCTTTCTTGTGAGTTAATGCTATCTTCTCTTTCTTGAACAATAAAAGTGATTGCAGGTCCGGATGAACTAGCCCTCATTATGGATGAACTCTCCATAATTTTTAACCTACTAAATAACAAAACATCTTTGATCAACTTCTCCAAACACCTCTTCAACTTGTCTCAAGTTGTATGGTCAATTTTAAGTACTTTAATTAATAAAGAAAATCAAAATTATATAAAAACTTCAATTGATCATAGAGATTTCTTATCTCTACTGTGGATGGCAAATTCAGTTGCATATAGTTCACTAATATGATTATAAATAGAGAGTTCTTGATTTATGATTTATCTCATTTGTGTCTCCCACCAATCGACCAATAATTGCATATTAGCCTTTCATCAATTAATCTTTCTAGTTATGTTGTAAACTTATTTTTTTAATTAAGCTCTAGATTAAGATATTATCTATCTTGAGGCAATGGTTACTATACAATCCTAATTAAGATTTTGTTAGGTGTCTTCACTAGTTTCAATTGGGTCGCTACAAGAACACTCCTTAGGAGTAGATACCTTCAAAGATTTCCCCTAGCTATTAGAGGAACTCACCCAAGAAGAAGGCATCACTCACTCACAACCACTTAGAGCTCACCCTATATTGTGCAACCAAAAGGTTCCTCACCAAACAAGGGGATTATCACTCATCTCAGTGAAGCTCTTATCCTTTAAGCCTGTTGAGCCCGTTGAACTCACTCACAGGAAAGCATCTATCATAGTGAATCCTCGCTCATTCATGCATGCTAAGCTTATGAACTCATCATCTCCACCCATATATCTGCTCACCTTCATCAACATGGCAACACTGAGCCTCTTATTCACTCACTGCTATCACTAGGTGACTCTTTGGATATGTGTTTACCCCCTCTTAAGCTCACTCGATGAAAGACAGCTCACTGGATCATTGATTTTGCCTTCCCAAGGCCAATTAGAAGATGTCACGTGTCCTAGATTAATGTGTAACATTATACGTGTATTTTTGTGTAGCACATATTTTTGCCTTCTGCATTGCCTTTCCTGTACCATCCAAAATCCTATAAATATGAGGTGATGAGGAACGGTAAAAGGTGTTTTTTTTTTGGATTCTCAGACTCTTATCTATTTTGAGATCGCGGGTTCTGAATATTCTTACACTCACTGCTGACCACATCCGTGAGGAGAATAACTCATCAGCTAGGCCAGCTAGGAGGGTGGAACTAGAGCTAACCAATGCACTTTCAAGGCCAATTAACGAGGCTAAGCCACCTCTTAAATTTAAAGCGCTTCACTTGGAGTCATATTGAGGAAAGATTGACCCCACTGATCATTTAACTACTTTCGGGTCCATGACCTTCTTGATAAACATAGACAATGCCCTTATGTATCGTTGCTTCATCACGACACTTAAGGAATCAACGCTAGATGGTTCAATCGCCTATGAATATGAGTGGTCACCACCTTATTCTCTATGTTCAAGCGGATGTTCGTGATGCAATTCGCTAGCTTGAGACCCCAGAAGAGCTTGCAAGTCCACCTAATGATGAAGCAAGAGCCTAGGGAATTATTGAAGAACATTAGAATGAGATTCTAAAGAGAGATGCTAGATATCAAGGACCTAGAGTCTGTAGTCTCCCAGACTGCCTTGACCTAAAGACTAAGGGAAGGTTCTTTCAGATACACGCTCATCCTATAGCGGTCAAGGATTCTTGCCAAATTATTGGAGCTGGCCAATAGTCATGTGCATGCTAAAGAATACAACTGGGTAGTTGAATCCTCTATAGCTACCCACCACCATGAAGTCGCCCCCAAGCGAGAGCCATATCGAGAAAGAGAAAGAACAAACTTGCCCTAGAGATAAGAAAGACAAGAGGTAGGACCCACCACAGGATCGTTGACATCCTGACCATTAGAGGGCGCCAGTGCAACAACCACCATTAAGGATAGCAGGGCCACTAGCACCGAGGGCCGAAGAACCTCTTTGGGCCACTCGACTTTTTTATGAGGTCGCCCATCAATCTCCCGCTTGCCCCACATACACTCTGTTGAGAGTGTCGATGGTGAGCTTGTGGAGGTTATCTAACACAATGAGTTTTTTAAATGTCTACCATCGATGAAAGCCATTGCCAACACCCTCGATACCTCTAGGTATTGTGCCTTCCACAAAGATCATAAACATCATTTTTAAATTTGTCTTTAATAAAATGAATATGCTCACTTCCCAGCTCACCCCCATTGCAGGACACACATTTATTGCTTCTCTGGTGAGCATTGCGACATACGAGTACTCATTCTACCAATTACCCGGGGTGAGGGCGAGCAGCAGTATACCGTGATGGCTGACTTCATCATAGTTGACGCCCTGACGACCCTTAATATTATATTTGGCAGGCCTCTACTAAATACCTTTAGGGCTATTGTATCTATATACCACGTCGTGATATAAGTTTTGGTAGGAGGAAAAGAGATCAAGGTGAGAGGCTCCCTAACCTAGTCACCACTTACTACTTGAGAGCGGCTGACAAAGTGGCAAACACTACGGAGGAGGTCTTCCAACTAGATGTGGAGTGGGGGCTAGGCTTTAAGTCCTTGAAGAAGTCTAAGAGGTGCCCGTTGTGGAGGGCTAACATGAAAGAACCCTTAGATTCAACACTTCTTTTTGCGATGAATACCGAGGTGGGCTTATTTAGGCACTTCGAGATAACCTCAATGTATTCGCATCAGCGAAGGTATCAGTTTCCACCAACTCAATATGAGAATAGTTGTTCGCCCCATCAAATAGAATATAAGGAAAATGACTTCATTTTTTGCTGAGGCCATAAGAGAAGAAGTAGAGAAGCTTGTGGCGGACAACTTTAATTTCTGAGGGAAGTCTAGCACCTAGATTGGATCTCCAATATATTAATGTTGAATAAAGCAATGGGTAAGTGGAGGATATATGTGGACTTCACTAGCTTGAATTGGGCATGCCCTAAAGATGGTGATTGCCTAGAATTGATGCTTTGGTTGACACGACAGTGGGTTACTCAGTGATGGGTTTATCATCAGATCAAAATGCATCAAAGCGATTCGGGTGCTAGGGATGCAAGCGAATCAAGCCGATCCGAGTATGTGAGTGTTCATGTTTGAGTTCATTTATTATCAGCTTGTTCAAGTTTGGTTTGTGTTTGATTCAAGCTTTATTGTTTGTGTTCATGTTTGTTCGTTTAAATTAATGTGTTTTCATGTTTTGTTCATGTTCGATTACTTTAGTGTTTATCGAGCTTTAAACAAACAAGCTTTGATGAGCTATAAATGAGCTCTACTTTTAGATGTTCATTAACTTAACAAACGAGCTTTATCGAGTCTCCTAACAAACAATTATATCGAGCATGTTCGTGAACATATTTAATGAATTTTTTAAAATATCAAACAAGTACGTTCATGAACTCATCTAATGATTATTCTTGAGCTATCAAATAAGCAAGTTCATGAACATATATAACTTATTTTTTCAAGCTACTAAATGAGCTCGTTCACAAACAAGTGATCTATGATTTATCTTATATTTATTCATGAAAATTTTAAACAAACAATCTAGCAAATATGGACAAATGTGAAATGTCACTTTTTCATGAACAAATTCATTCTATTGAAGATATAAAATTCAATGAAATTATAATAAAATCAGTTGATTATGTAAAATGAAATTAAGATTAATTTTTATGAATATATTTTCAAATGAAACT